AAGAAGAAGAAGAAAGTACTGGTAATTTCAAGTAAGTGACATTTATGGTATCCCGTCTTTCAGTGTTTCGGAGATTCAAACTGCTGAGGGACTAGCAGATGTTCTAGCGGAGATGCTTGGTGCATTGGATCCAAAAAATCCTCAGGTCAGAACTAGTTTTAACTCTCTTGTTTCTCAGGTTCATAGTGTTTACTTGTCCTCACTCGCTACTAAAGTTGAAAACTGGAAGGGTCGTATTTTCAAATGAGTTTCTTTTCTTGGATTGTCTTTGGTGACTGTATTCGATTAAGTTGACAATTTCAGGACTACACCTTTTAGAATGCTCCCTTTCACCCCTTCAGAAATCCTTTAATGTAAAGTATCTGGCATTTTTTTTTTTGAAAACTTTTTGATGGGGGCAGACAAAATGGTTAATGCAGTGAATTAGGTTAAACGGCAAGTTTAGATTGAAACATTGAACGCAGAAATTCAGTAGAAGCTTCGAACATTTTTTGGTGAAGACAAATATGCTAAGGTAGTTTTGGGCATGAAATTGGGAAGAATTAGGAATCTCTAATTTTAATGTTGTTTGGGATATTTAAATTTCTGTGCCTATTATAGGTATCTTGTAGGTTAATCTTGTAGGTTAAATCCATATGGTTATATAATATATAGGCATCCTGTTCTTCTACCTTTCTCGGCCTTTTAGCTAAGATCAACTGTAGTCTTGTTCTTCCTTTCAGTAGGCCTAAATACTAAGAGTTCCCTGTTTATATTTCATTTTTTGATAAGTGATCTTATGTTCCATCATTGAGTGCTAAAATCCATATAGGTTGATCACCATTGTATATCCAATTTACGTTGGGCAGTACTTGTAAAATCCAGATGAATTATTGTTTATGCTCTAATTTATTGCTTGACATCTTTACAGGCCGTAAAGGAGGAGGTGATCGTCGATCTTGTCGAACAGTGTCGTTCTTACCAAAAGCGTGTTATGATTCTTGTGAACAACACAGTGTAAGAACCTGTAGGTTTTGTGGTTTTATTTCATTCCTGATCGCCCCTTGACATTGTTCACCTTTCCAAATTTAGAGACGAGGATCTGCTGTGTAAAGGATTGGCACTCAATGATGATTTGCAGCGAGTTCTTCGTAGACATGATGATATTGCCAATGGAACCTCAACAATTACAGTACAGCCCAGAGAAACTCCTGTTGCACCCCTCATGAATGTGAATCATGAGGATGATGAGTCAGAAGATGATTTCTCTCATTTAGCACGAAGGTAATGCTTGGTCATTTTGCTGCTTTACTGTTCCTTCTCCCGTTTTCCTTGTCCATACCAGTAGTATTAGTGTTAGTCTTGCATTTTCTTATTTTTTTTTATTTCTATTACTACCTGCTGTTTCTTTCGCTTCGGTTTTCTTGTTATCTTGTTGGTGTTACTGTCTATCGGTAACAACCTCTCTACCTTCTCAAGGTAGGGGTAAGGTCTGCGTACCCACTACCCTTTCCATATCCAACTTTTGGGATTACACTGGGTTTGTTGTTGCTGTACTATTCCTTCTCCCCCACCCGCACAGTAATTGTCTTCAGTTTTATAATTATGGGTTTGCCGGGTATTTTCTGTTCTTACTGCAAATATTGCCACTTTAGAGTACGTGATGTAGTAAAAGCATTTTGATTAGATCTTTAGATGGTCATTGATATGAGAATATAAATCAACTGCCTCTATTCTCCATCAAGGAGAAGTTGGATTTCATTTTCTGGGAAGAACTTTATGTCAAATGATTCCTAGAGATCATTTTTGCTTTAGTTCTCCTAGCTGGTTAGCACACTTAAACATTTATAGCCTGTTTGGCCAAGCTTTTTTTTGGGGCTAAAAATGCTTTTTTTGGCCAAAAGCACTTTTGACCAAAAATTGAGGTGTTTGGCCAAGCTTTTGGAAGGAAAAAAAGTGCTTTTGAGGAGAAGCAGAAGCAGTTTTTGAGAAGCAGAAAAAAGTAGCTTCTCTCCGAAAGCACTTTTGAGAAAAATACACTTAGAAGCAGTTTTCAAAAGCTTGGCCAAACACTAATTACTGCTCAAAAGTGCTTTTTAAATTAATTAGCCAAACACAAACTGCTTCTCACCAAAAGCATTTTTTTAAAAAGTACTTTTGAGAAAAGCACTTCTCAAAATAAGCTGATTTTAGAAGCTTGGCCAAACAGGCTATTAGTCTGTTTGGCAGGCATCCGAGGTAACCTACTTTTAGATTTATTATAGGTTATCAAAAAAAGATTTATTATAAAGCAGCAGTGGATAGTTAATTCCATCGTTGCTATTTAAAAGAGACCAGAATTGTGATACTGTTTCAAACTTGGGGTTTCACCAAACTATTACCTTCTCCTTTTGGTATACATTGAAAATAATCGATTTTAGCCAGTTGCTGTTATGTGTACTTTTCATATAACCCTATGTGAAAAAGTCAATAAACTTCAGAGGTTGAAGGTAAGGCGTGTTTGGCTGACTAAGCTCTTCATTTCTAAGGGGATTTTAGTTAGATTATAGAGCAATCAAAGAATATGAGACCACATCAAAATTTTGGTAGCAATAGTGAGAAGAAAAACTGTAGAGCTGATCATAACTAATTTTGGTTGAGGTTTAGTTGATTGATTTTTGGTGAGCAGAAAAAACGTAGTCCTTCTAATATTATTTGTTTTGTCTTTCAGTATAAATTGATATTAACAGTGCTACAGGGATTTGTCTGTGTAATGTCAAAGGTTTTTGCTTTTACCACTATGTAAAAGATTTCTTTGTGTAACATCAAAACTTTTCGCTTTTTCCAATAGTGTAATTTTTGCATTATAGCATTTCTTTCTTGTTATGATTCGTTTGCTTGATTGCGAGTCTCTGCATAATGATGAATGGATATCCAATAGGTGAATGTAGCTTAGTACAAGATCACTTTCTTCAACAATTTAAGGCACTTCCTTAGGAGTTGGGAGTGATTTGTTGGGCTTAAGTACATTGTTCCAAAACTTTCCCAAGTCCTCCTTAAACTCTTCTTGGAACTCTTCCTATCTTGGCCTTGCCGTTTCCGTGAGTTTCCAGCACATAGTGGTGCAATTTCCTTTTCTCAGTTTTCTTTTTTTTTTCCTTCTGAAAAAGTGCGAAACTCCAGCATTTTATCCATTCACTGTGAGTTCCACACAGTTGGGACTTGTTATTGAGATTCTGTTTAGTACAGAAGAATGGCTTAGAAACAAACAAGTGCATCAGAGCTTAGTGTCAAATGCCACCATGTTATCCTGGTTAAGTGTCCAAGACTGTATGCCTTGCTGGTTGGATCTGAATCTGCTCTATAGTTATCTAATCTCTTTCTTTTTCCTACCTCCCCTACAAAGGGATTCCCTAGGATTTTGATTACAGTTGGAGTTACTATGGAATTTTGCTAAGTACAGAATAATGGTTTAAAGCAAACTAGTGTTGCAGAGCCATTGGAGTTGTGGCTCTAAATCCTGCATTTCTCATGTGCATGAGTTGGATCGCTGGGGAAACCAGCTTCTCTATTCTTCTTTAGAATTTTCTGAAATCATATTTTTGTACCAATATGTACTTGACCTAATTTATATTACAATAAGCCATCAGCACTTGAAAGATTTTGACACTTAGAATCCAAAAACATTATATGGGTGAGTGATACAATAAGCCGGAACTGCATTTCATCAGTGTACTCAAAGTTTAGAACATGCATAGTTGTTAATTCACAAAAGAGCCGAAGAAGTTTTTGCTCCACATCAAGTAAGCTTCTGATTCTTGGTTTTCCACCAGCATAAACATTTGCTGTTGCTTAATAGGAAATTGGGAGATAAAGAAGAGGAAACGATGAGTTTCATTTCCTGTTTATGGTTTTTAATGGAATAATGGGCTGATGATTATATTACCATTTGAAGTTCCAGGGGCAAAGGCCTTGTGGGGGAAAGTTTGGGATACAAGAGTTTGTCGTACCTATTTCTTGAATCTTTAATTTCTTTTCTCGACCTAGATTTCCTACTTCTGCATCTGGTGGTGTGATGATAACTTCATAATGTTGTCAAATTCTGAGTACTGGTAGAATGTTTCCTGGGTTCTCAAGGGCAAGAGCTTGGCAGATTGATATTGGTCTGTCATGCTTAAAAGACGTGCAGTCTAGTTTTGGTGTAAATCCACTTTATTCATCTGTGTGCTGTCATGTGCACAATTCTATTTCTAGACTAAGAATCCTCATTGAGTGAGAATTTTTGTGCACCGAGTATGAAATTGTACTTCCCTTAGTATATATAATTGACAATGATTTGGACATCCATTAAAATTGGTACGATAAAGAGAAGATACAAGTGCCAATTATTTTTATATCCATCATAGATATAGGTTTGTGCTTTAATTTACTCAAGGATTTCAAAAAGCGCAGAAACATTTGGTTGTGTTTTGTCAAATCTCTACTGGTATCCTCTTGGTGGTGTTGTCCCTGGCTTTGCTCGTCCTTTTCTTGATGTGTTTTTACCATCACTCGTGTTACAGATCTTCAAAGGATCCATCGCAGGCACAGGGGCGGAAGACTGTTGATGTAAAGAGTGAACCTATGCGAATTACCCCTACTCTTCCTCCCCCACCTTCATCAAGGAGACCAGTTTCTACTGATGCGGGAATGGTTGATTATCTCAGTGGTGAAAGGTTTGAATCTGAAAGATCTTTTGGAACAGCAGGATCCTCACCTATTGCTGTCTCAACTAATTCAAACAATGTGAGCTCCATCCCGCGATCAAGTCCCAAGCCTTCTTCATCCGCACCCCCTTCGGATGATTTGCTAAACCCAACAGCTGATGATGATTTCGTGAACCCCACTGCATCCTTGTTTACTGGAAAAAGCAACAATGGCGAATCTGATACAAAAGCCAAATCTGCTGATCACTTGCCTCCAGCACCTTGGGATGCTCCTCCTCCTACCACACTCCCTCCACCACCAGCCAGATATAATCAGAGACAGCAGTACTTTGAGAAAAATGTTTTTGGTGGTGGATCGAGTTCTTATGATAGCGTAGTTGGACAAACAAAGAATCTCTCCATTAACTCTTCGTCGCAATCCAAACAAGAGAAACCTGAGGACGCACTGTTCAAAGATCTTGTTGATTTTGCAAAAGCCAAGTCTTCGTCATCGTCAAACCAATCCAATAGATCATTTTAAGTGATTGTAATGGATATGAATAATTTGTGGTGGTATATATCAGCTTTTACATCTTGTAGACAATAAATATTAAACAGAACTGGGTTCATGGATTACTGGAGCTGCTCCCCCTGCTTTGTTTTAGTTGTGAACCTTGGGCTTTCAGCTCCAAGGTGAGTGAGTGTAGCCGACATGAGATTTACAGATTGGTTATTATGTATTCTTTTCTTCCTTTTCAATTGGTTTGTAATCATAACAATACTTGGGTTCTACTATGTCTCAATTAGTAGGGATGATCGTCTACGACTATATGAGTTCTGTTTACATGATTATATCTTCTGCAGGTGGGCTGAGTGATTCTGCCTCCAAGAAGAAAATCCAAAGGTTCAACACCTCTCTCATATTTCAGTTTGATAGCATCAAACAATACATTAGAGGATGTAATGGTGGTTGCTTAAGAATATCAAAATCCATTTATTTTTGCATCAACTGAAACAGAGGAAAATATGACATCTTCCAATGGACACAATCAGATAATTCTCATTGACAGCATCCTTGGATGTGAAGGCTTAGGCAGGGAAGTCAAACGTATCAACCTTCTGAGTGTACTGTGGTCAATAACCCTTCTGGTTCATCAGAGAGGGATTGCCATAGCGACGCCACCTTGTTCAAGAGATACTTTACAACATCCTGCATGTTGAAGAATTAGTCATTGATTGGACCAGTCATCTTGTTTTTAACTATGTTGATGTGAACTGTGTTTGTTTAGGAACAAGAAAACTTCCTCATTAGCAACTTGAGAATAATCTCCATAGAATCTAGAAGATTGACGCGCAACTTTCTCCAGCCACCTTCTTAAGTCGTCTGACCCTCATACCTCTTCTCAATTTTGCTGCTTTCTCCCATAATCCAACTTCAGCATACTTGTTTGCTACCATAACTAAATTCCCACTCCTTTTAGGCTCCAATGCAAGCAACCTCCTTCTGACCTTCTCTCCAACTCCAGTATAGTCATTAATATCATGAATGTGGCAAGAACTCAGTAGTGTCCTCCATATAACTGCATCAGCCTCAACAGGCATGTCCGCAATGAATTTGTACGCTTCTTCAAGACGACCAACACGACTCAAGATATCTACCATGGCACCATAATGTGCCATCATAGGTTTGATCCTATGGACACTTTCCATCTCTCGAAACAAACGTTGCCCCTCTTCTACCATACCAACATGACTACAAGCGCAAAGCACACCTAGAAAGGTCACATAGTTAGGCTTCATAGAGCAATCCTTCATTTTCCTAAAGAGTTCCATGGCCTCTACTGCAAATCCATGCCGTGCTAATCCAAGAATCATCGCACTCCATGTCCACACATTTCTTTCACCAATCCTATCAAAGATCAAACGAGCATAATCTACTGCTCCACATTTAGCATACATATCAACAAGGGAAGTTCCCAATTGACAATTCACAAACATCCCTTGCTCAATCACTTGACAGTGTATCCATTTACCTAAACTCAAGTCACCCAACTCAGCACAAGCAGAGAGCAAAACAACCATAGTTGTCTCATCCGGTTGGAACTGACATTCTCTCATCTCACGAAAAATCTCAACCGCTTCGTAAAACCAACAACTTTCTACAAAAGCCGAAATCGTAGAATTCCAAGAAATAACAGTTCTCAGCGACATAACAACAAACACCTTATATGCATCCACAATCTTCTTGCAAGATCCATAAAAATGAACCAAAGTGTTCTGAACATAAACGTTGTTACAAAAACCGATCTTGATTGCTTCAGCATGAATCTGTTTCCCTTCTTTCAGACCCAAAAAGGACGAACAAGCTTTGAATAGAAAAGGGTATGTGAATTCATCTGAAGCAGCTCCACACCGCCGCATTTCGACAAAAACACGAATGGCTTCACTATGTGAACAGTTGTTGCACGTGGCATAATTTCTAATGAGGATATTCCACCACACATTAGATGAGTTGTGGGATTGTTTGATGACAAGACCCACGTAAGTAGCTGAGTTTATAGGGGTATGAGATGCAAAAAAGTTGACGATTTTAAGGATGATAGAAGTTTGTTGACAGAGTCCGGAGATTATGATGTGAGTATGGATTTGGAAGAGGTGTTTAAGAGAAGAACAAGAGTTGAGAAGAGCCAAGAGTTGTTGGGTTTTGGAGGTGAAGCTCATGCCACAGCACTTTTTAGCAGCGTGACATTTCCCCCCTTCGTTTTCTAGTGTCAACTTATATATGGGAAAAGGGTTAAATTTACCTTTTACTTTAGAAATTGATCCATATTTAATATTCATTTAACAAAAATGACCCTATAATTAAGCTATGTAGCAGACTAGCAGTGATGACTATACCCTTCATATCACATCAATTGTGTACTATAAAACATTGTTCATTCATTAGACATGAAGAAAATTATTAAAGTAGCAAATGATGTTAACACAATAAATGTCTAGCTTTTAGGTTTGCATATCCATAAGTGTGTCATTAAGCTAGTCCAACCAAAATATGGTTCTTTTGGACTTAAAAAACGAAAATATATGGAAAAAAAAATTTAGTGACCAAAATATATATAGCGTTTTTTTGAAAGATGCTATACATTAACGGTCGTTTGGCCAGTTAAGTATAGCGTCTTTTAAAAGACGCTATATTTGAATTAAAAATAGCGGGAAACTATAGCGTCTTTTGTTAAGACGTTATATATATAACGTCTTAACAAAAGACGCTATATATTCCCGCTATTTTTAATTCAAATATAGCGTCTTTTAAAAGACGCTATACTTAACTGGCCAAACGACCGTTAATGTATAGCATCTTTCAAAAAAACGCTATATATATTTTGGTCACTAAATTTTTTTTTCCATATATTTTCGTTTTTTAAGTCCAAAAGAACCATATTTTGGTTGGACTAGCTTAATGACACACTTATGGATATGCAAACCTAAAAGCTAGACATTTATTGTGTTAACATCATTTGCTACTTTAATAATTTTCTTCATGTCTAATGAATGAACAATGTTTTATAGTACACAATTGATGTGATATGAAGGGTATAGTCATCACTGCTAGTCTGCTACATAGCTTAATTATAGGGTCATTTTTGTTAAATGAATATTANTCATATTAGTTGTTTTGTATGTGCTCTATGTTATTTTGTGATTGTTTTGCGATTTAACTAATTTATTATTTTTTGTCCGGACTATAGTATTAGTGTGCTAAAAAAATTCGTAAAATAGAGAAATTGTTGTTAGTTGTTAAAAAAATATTAAGTAGTTACTTTTTACTGTGGTATATGTAATTTCGTGATTAAATTGATTTGTTATTTTTATCCGATTTAGATTATTAATTTGCTAAAAGACTAGTAAACTAGATATATTTTAACTTTAGTTCATGTAAGCTAATTCGTTCAGAACTCAGTTGACTCCTTCTATAGAGAAGGCGGAGCGTCCTTGGCTCAACATTATAGCACATAGGGCTTCGGCGCTACTACAACTTGGTATCTTGTGGCCTAATGTAGTGCTCGTATTTATAATATAGTGACCTTTTAATGTAGTAAAACGTAGTGCCCTTTAGCGTAGTATCCTTGTAGTTATAGAAATTAATCATTTAAGTATCTCTTATTCCCAAAATACGTCAAAAAACTGATAGTTCAAACACAAACTATCTCCAATTATAGTCAACAAACGTAAGAATATAAGAATTCAGGATACATTGGTGCGTATTGGGCCTCAAATATTGCGTCCGGAACCAAAATGTGAATATTTAATAATTAAATCTTGTATAATTATAAAAATTAATTATTTAATTTTAGTATAGTAAAAAGTAAGTCAATAACAAACAAAAAAACATATAAAATAATAAAACTAACATATTAAATAATAAAACCAACATATACAATAATAAACTAACATATAAAATAACAGACTTATTGAGTGAAAAATCGGAAAAAAATTCTCATCATGAACATAAGAATTCAGGATACATTGGTGCTACTAGGCCTCAAATATTGTGTCCGGAACCAAAATGTGATTATTTAATAATTAAATCATGTATAGTAAAAAATAGGTGAATAACTAACAAACATATAAAATAATAAAACTAACATATAAAATAATAAAACTAACATATTAAAGTAACGTATAAAGTATAAAATTATAATATTGAAAATGTATTAACATAAATAACAATATAGTAAAAATATCGAATAAAATTTAATATTCAAGGTATTGCAATATATTTAAGCAATGGAAAAAAAAATTAATGTAATTAATTTTGTTCAATTTACGGTAGTCGTCATAGAGATTCTGCCTTTGTATCCCGGACCTGCCTCCCTAGAGCTACTATTGCTACAGGTCGAGCATAGGTCTTCCTACATATGGGAGGAGCAGTTATTGGCACAGACTTTACGTTCTAGGAGAATAGACGATATGTGGGACTTTCTTAAGGACCGCCAGTTCCATCCCCGTATAGTCAGACGCCTGCAGGATACGAGTTTTTATAGGATCATTGAGATCGGTTGGCTGCAACTGGATTGGTCGTTGATCACGACTTTGATAGAGCAGTGGCGACCAGAGACGCACACATTCCATTTGCCCATTGGCGAGGCCACTATCACGCTGCAGGACGTGGAGGTTCTGTATGGGCTGCCGGTTGATGGACTTCCTGTTGCTTTGCCGCAACCTATGAGAGATTATACGGGAGCTCAATACCTGGACACGTTGCAACGGCTCACCGGTTTCCGGCCAGAGGATAAGGGTGTATTGGTTGGGGCTAGTCGTCTTGCGTTGACGCATATCCGACTGCATTTGGAGGCCATGCATGATGATATGACTCATGATATACCAGAGCTTCATATTAACCGGTATACGAGGTCGCTGCTGCTTTTATTTGGAGGCGTATTGTTCCCGAACACTTCGGGAAACCTAGTCAGCTTGAGATTTCTTCATCATCTTGAGCGGCTAGATGATTTACATCAGTACAACTGGGGTGCTGCTATTCTTGGTTACTTGTACCGGCAGATGTGCCGGGTATGCATGGGCACCCAGTGAGACGTTGCAGGATTTATGCCGCTGCTGCAGGTGAAGACATAGTCAAATACTCTCTTCATTATAACATACATCATAAAAATATACCTTAAATTTTACTTCCAAATTGTATATTAGGTTTGGGCCCAGGAGTGGTTCTTGCAGTTTCAGCCACCTCTACCACCCATAGCTCAGGATGCACCACTTCCACCATTTCTCCCTTTGGCTAGGAGGTGGGTTGAGAGGCGGGGATACGGAGGCGAGTACGAGGCTCGACATAATCTCCCCTATTGCAGAGATATGTTGGATTTGCTGGAGGACGCGCAAATAATTCTATACTTATGTTTACTTGGCCTGCGTTAGATATATGTTTTGTATACGCACGATTCCTGTTTTTACGTAATAGTTCATTTGGAGGCCATACATCGACGAGCTAATAGCTGGTTTGCCCGATTATTGCTCGATCGGAAGACTTATCTAGAGCTATTCCGTCCCGTTGATATGTCTCGATATTGTCGAGCATCATGCCACCGAGCAAGTCCTTCGCCAGTTTGGTCGACCACAACTTGTACCTCCACCGCCCGCTTGGGTTAGGACACATTACTAGCAGGATGATCATTCGGAAATCATTATAATAGGTCTATGGGCCAGGTATTATGTGCATGGTCCTAATTTGTCGATTCAATTATGAATATCCTTATAGATTGGCTTGAAACTTTGTTTGATGTTTAATCAAACAGGATATAGAAGTTTGCACGATTCTAGAGGCCAAGATAATATCTACCATTATATGCTTGATCCTAAGATTGTTTATTATTTACTCTGCTCATCAGCTCTTGAATGCATTTCTATTTGTGTTTTCTTTAAAATTTCCGATGCTCAGAAACACATTTCTATCTACAATTTTAAGAATAAGAATTTAGGATGTTTATGTTCCAACTTCAGTCTTAATTAACTTAAAGGTTTTTGGAGAGAGGGCCTGATTAAAGTTCAAATCTCCGCCATGGTAGTTTTAACTTAAGGATAATTGACTTTTTACATGAGCAAGTTAAAGTAGTTAGTAGTGTCTCTATCATAGACAGCCTATTTTGTAATTTGTTGACCTAACAAAATTGAAATTTGTATTAGGCAAAAACTTTAAGCAAAAAAAGATTTCTTATTTATGACAATACCGTTGATTAAAGATATCAAATCAAAAGAATGCTGGTGCGGGTGCTTTTGTATCACTTGCTTTAGCCATGTCTTAGCTTTCTGTTACTGCATTGTATAGAGAGTGAAAGTTAATATAGGGAAAATGATGTTTTCTTGTTGGTCATGCTTTTCCACTGTTAGAGAGCTTAGGAGTTATCTTGCTTGTGGTGTAATGTGGATTCTACATTTTGGTTTGCATGTTAAGAGGCAAAATTATCAGTCATTGGCTAATCTCAGCTACTCAGAGACAGAGTACTTACTACATCATATTGGCAAAGGTTGGAGTCGGGCGCTACAATGGAAGCGAGTCTATCTTCTTGTAGACATGCTTCTATATATCTAAATTCTGTTTTATGCTTTCAGTGCATCCTTACTGTGTGGCGTTTACAGAGTAACTGTCCTCTGTGTTTTTATCCATTGAGTACATTACTCGGAACCAGCGCAGCTTTCAGTATAAACCACACTGATGGAAATTGTTCTTTATGTTTTTTATCCATCAGTTGACGTTTACGAAATTGATGTCTTGTTTCATTACTTCCGTTAGTAACATTGTTAGAACTAACCCTTAATAATGTTTAGCTTTTCTATTGGCTGAAGATGCCTGGTTGCAGTTTCTGCATTTAGTTGTTTTTCTTATCATTGCAGATGCAGTGCATGCATCATCAGCCAATTACTTTGAATAATCTTTGTAAAACATTCATGCACCGGCTGCAACATTCATTTGACCAAGACCCTTTAACGTTATACAGGATCTACTAATGGTTAGCTAGAAGGGTTTGTTGGTCTATCAACTCATTGATAGGATATTTTGTTCAAATACTCACGTGTGTGGTGATTGTGTTGCACTTATCGTTCCCCATGTGTTTCTGCAATATATACCATTTCATGCAGGATGTGCTGGTAATTCTTTCTCCAGGTATTCGAAATTTCTAAGGCGACCTGTAGATTCTGAATCTCTCTGTTGGTATCTTCATTTTTCATTAATTCTGGATTTGATTACCCTAAAACAAGAATTTAAAGGGCTTGCTGGAAAAAGCAATGCAGTTTATCTTTTACATGTGTTCGGCCCTCAGTATTTGCTGCTATCGCTCCTGTTCTAAGATACTTTTGGAATGAAATATATTTTTATCCTTATAATCCTCATGTTTAGGTCAATATTGTAGCTACTTCAACTGCCTTTCTTATATTTCATGACAAAACGCCACCATAAAAAGGGTTAGAGGAGGGGCCAAAAATAATAAAAAAAAAAAATCCTGATATAGGTTGAGCTCTTAGTAACTAGCCATTGATTACTTATCAGAAAAGTTGCATATGTGATCGTAGTTTATGTGTGTATCTTTGTAAAGACCGGCCAGTTGTTTTGAGAGTAATAACCCCGATTCCCTATCTATTGCTAACCCCGTATCTTTTTCTGCTCACGTAACTTGCCGAGAGGTTTTGTTTTTTGGTTTCAGAGTGTTTTGGGACACTTAGTCCCTAAAATGGAAGCTTAAGTCTTAGGATTTTGACCGCAGTCAGAACTATGGGAAGACGACTCCGGAATGGAGTTTCGTTGATTCCGTTAGCTCCGTTGGGTGATTTTGGACTTAGGGGCGTGTCCGGATTGTATTTTGGAGGTTTGCAGCTGATTTAGGCGTGAAATGGCGAAAGTCGAATTTTTGGAGATTTTGACCGGTAGTGGACTTTTTGCTATGTGGAATTATTGTTGATTCAATGGAATGAACCCAACTAGATGCAAAAGTAATGTCAGGAGTACAACAATAACAAACCCAATATATTCTCATATGTGGACTCTGGGGTGGGTAGTGTGTACGCAGACTTTACCCCTACCTAGTGAAGTGAAGAGGTTGTTCCAAATAGTAATGCCAGGAGTAAAAGAGAAAAAGAATACATATAATAAGTAATAAGAAATTACCTAGGTTGAACTTGGGTGGCAGTATCTAGTGTAGTAAAGAATAAAAATGGTAACAAATTTAAAAACAGATATATATATAGGGCATATCTTCATCTTTTTTATTTCCTTTTTGACCAGAAACCTCGGGTGTTATTACTAATATTTTATTTATTCGGCATATTGCTCATTCTTGCAGTTCACAAGTAAGAAAAATACAGGTATACCATGTAAAAAAGAAGCAAGTCTTTATACAATAAACACCATTATTTAATTATTCATCACTGGTGGTTGATAAACTTGTAGTAACCAGTGACATGCACTTTCTTTAAATAAGGATCAAAGTTTTTAAACGTATGTCTTTATTAAGAGAGGCCAAAAGGAGTAGCAATCAAACAAAAATCATTCTTTCTGCTGGCAGTTACCCCTTGTGTTTCGATCATGTCAAAATCGTCCAGACTAACGTTGGCAGGAAGCTTCCAATCAAAGTGATAAAGCAATTGAGCTAAAGGATACCCGGCATTAGCTAAACCAAATAACATTCCTGCACATATATATTCTTCTTCCTGCGCCAAATGGAATAATTCAAAGTCAATAGCTAGTACTATTCTCAAATCTCTCAGGTATAAAACTTTCTGGATTATGCCAGTACTTAGGATCTCTTCCAATTGCCCATGCATTAACTAGGACTTTGGTTTTGATAGGAATAGTGTATCCATCAATCTTTGTTTCTTCTCTGCATTCCCTTGGGAGTAATAGAGGAACTGGAGCGTGTAGCCTTAATGTTTCTTTTATCACTAATTCTATATACTTTATCCTCGTATGTTTTCTTTGCCTTTAGGACTCCGATCCTCTAACTTCACGTTGTGCTTTAGCCATGACGCTTGGATTTCTTATCAATTCTGCCATTACCCAAATAAGTGTTGTGGATGATGTTTCCGCTCCTGCCATGAACATATCCTGCATGTAAAAACTTACCAAGATTTACTATATGCTGGCCAAAGTTTAATGTTAATAGCTAACGAAATGAAAAGAGAACATAGATTGAGATGTTGTAGAAAGAAGTACACTTACAAAAATAACTGCTTTGATATTCTGATTGGTGATTGGCATTCCAAATTCCACACTCTCCATGACCCTCAGTAGAATATCGACCAGATTTTCTTCTCCAGACTCACCATTACCCTTTTTACCATTTGCTCGATTTTCTTGATGTTCACTTATGATACAACAACAACAACAACAACAACAACAACAACAACCCAGTATAATCCTACTAGTGGGGTCTGGGGAGGGTAATAGGTACGCAGACCTTACCCCTACCCCGAGGGGCAGAAAGGTTGTTTCCAGGAGACCCTTGGCTCAAGAAAGTGACAAGAGACTATTAATACTATCCATAGATTCATAATAAAATAACATAAAATAAAATAAAATAACATACCATAACATAAAATAAAAATAACAACAGTATAAGAAATATAGGAAGTACGAAAAAGATGGAAGATATAATAATATCCAGCAGATAAAGCCCTACATCAGTAATTGATCAGTAGCATCCTAAGACTAACTCCTAACTGGCTATTCTCACTTTAGTGCGATGTAGAAATACTCACACCTTCCCCCTAGCCTACAACCTTAATGCTCGACCTCCACAATTCCCT